AGTGGAGTACTTCAGGAAAGTCGACGGGGGGGGCTAGTGGAGTACTTCGTGACCACAGAGCGTGAACGCTGTAATAAGCTGTTTTAGCGCAGTTCTCCAGTGAAGGGGGGGGGAGTCTCCCTCCGCAGCCGGTTGGCGTACTTTTGGCACAATTCCGTTGTACAGACCGACGTTAACAGCAGCCCTGTCTGTGCACACGGAGACCGACTCTTAACCGCCTTCTGGAAAAGCCTCACAAGTACGTCGGTACGCAAATGCGCTTTGTGACACAAGTGACGGTACGCATTTCAGATTGTTGCCGCGCATGCGTACCAGTTATGTGCACCCATGCTCATAACAGCTTTTGACCTTATCTCACTCTATACAATGTGTAGATTACCTTGAGGAATGTGAAGGCAGTCCATTTGAGCTCCTCTGTGCCCTCTGGTGACTCGATGAGGCCGGTGAAGCACGCCTTCCAGATCTCCAGGACAAAAAGGGGAGTAGGGACTCGCTGTGGAGGACAGATCATTTGAGAAGACTTTTAATAAAAGAAAAGCTTACACATCTCCCGGCGCAGACTGAAAGCTCATCTCTTTCGACTCCACTTCGAGCGATAGAATTACTAACAAAGCACTTACATACTAACAAAGGACTGGCTTATCTAAAGCTAGTTGAGTAGCACTTGAAATGTTTTGGCTCTATGAAACCTGATGTACTTATATGATTCTGTTTTCTTCAAGTTTGTATCTTCTTGGTCGAATGCACTTATTGTAAGTGGCTTTGGATAAAAGTGTCAGCAAAATGCAATACACGAAGAATGACATACCACATTATATCTAGCTCGTGTATTAGGGAACCTTCAGCTAAATAAAAAGTGTGTCTATCTCTCCCAAGTTACAGCAAGGGCTCGATTTTCTTTGGATTATGCCTGAATTCTTGCAAGAAGAAAACAGCAACATTTATTTAGCAACGCTTATTTCAAAGAACTTACTTACTCTCTCTTCCCTTTTAAAATTCCTATGGAAACACATGACACTGGGAAGAGTTTACTGGAATGATTCGAAATACATTTCCAAGAATGAAGAGACTTCCTTTCCCCTTTATTGTAATCCACCAAGTATTTTAAGAAAGGGTTAACATTACATGTCAATGCTATTACATGTTTACCTGCATTCTCTTGATCATCATCAGCTGCTCCACCAGCGGCTGTGTCTCCCCCGTCAGATTCATGGTCCCTTCCAGCATGATGAAGGCGTGGACCGATGGGAAGGAGGGATGAAACGTAGGCTCACTCTGCTCAGACAGCATCATGGGAATTCTGAGGACAGAGAGAAGAGTTATTTTTCAAGGTACAGGCTGAGTAGCATCAAAACAGAGTTCAATAGAAATGTGTGCTTAAAATGTAGGAATAAAGTGGAAATATTTACCCTTTTACTAGTGACAAGCTTTCCTCTAATTTATTCCTCAGTGTCTGGTTAGTGAGACTGCTGAGGCCCTCCGTTACTCTCAGCACTGATTGCTCCACGTTGCTCCAGGAACCTGGGGACAAATATATATTAGATTCCCAACTCATAACAATAAGGTTGGACTAAAACAGATTGTTTTTAAAGGATCGAATCAGAGGACATCTTACACAATTATATAAACCTTAATGTTTCCAGACAATCACTGGTAATGAAAGGTCTTAGCTAAGAGTAATCTATCTCTTTGGGACAAATATATGTAGTTTCATCCATTTGCGTTTTGCTCAGTCGTATGCACACACACAATCGTCTCACCTTGATCCTCCAGCCGAGCAATGTGAACCAGTGCTCTGTTCTTGGAGCTGTTCATCAGGGTGTGCAGCCTCTCCTGGCAGGCTCTCAGACTGGCCTCTGTGCTGGCTGATGGACCCAGTTCTCTCAGCTTCTCACAGTACCAGGCACAGCCCTGCAGCAGCCACACCACCACGCCCAGCAGAGCCCGACACAGCCCAATGCATTCCTCTGCTTTGCCGTGACAGCTTTACAGTCGAGAGATGAGATTGAATCAGAGTTATTTTAAATTAGAAGACTTTTCAGAACTGTACCATTTATTTTAAAAAGCAACCATTTAAACATAAGGCTTACATAAAACATATTGCAAGCTCAAGCTTCCTGGGCTGCTCACTATGAGTTATTATATATAAGTACAATTTAATAAAAAGGTTAACTTGTGAAACAATAACTTCATTTCTCATTCAGTGGTTTTCTGAATGCATTGTGGCAAGTTATCTGACATAAGTTTGAAAAATAGAAACAACAAATGTCTACGCAAGATATAAATAAACGTAATCGAATCATGTTTACATAAAAAACATAATTTGTTCATTAAAAAAACAAAACATATTTATTATTAAGGATGGGAGATCTTAAATAATGGTAGAGAAAGACACAGTGCCATGGATAATTTCACATACCTGAGACGATGGCAGAACATGTCCATTATCTCCAACAGGGATTTGACACACAGCTCCCGAGAAAAGTCATCAAACTATCAAAACAAAGACATATTAATGAAAATCTTTCATATATAGTAAAATTAACGATGTCATTTTCATCTAGTATAAATTACCTTGCTAAGGGCTGTAAGCACACTGGAATAAGACACCATCTAAGGAGAGAGAAGGTATGTTAACAATGTGACGATTAATACATACATACGGTTTTGCACACAGCTCAGTTACACTATAAGAAAAACACTGCTTTTTGCTCACCTGGGAACTGATGGCATATTTAAGGTAAGACAAAATAAGGGGGTTGGGAGATGGACCAATCATCGCCTGCTCCATCAGGGCCTCTGCAACACACAAACAGCATGTAACGCCACTATATAACTCACAAAAAGTAACCGGTGTAAAGCTAAATAATTAGCATTAGGGCTAGGGAATATCTCCTCTTACCTGCAAGGTTTAGGTAGTCCCATGTTGCTCCCTTTGGAAAGTTTTTCTTGATGTTTATGGCCCACTGGTAGTCACTCCATCGCTCCTTCCATGCCTGCAGAATGGCTTGCTTCAGATTGACCACTTTCATCCTGGTATAAACGAGCAAACAATTTTAAATTACTCAACATTTTGAATACGAGTGCCATTAAAGCTATTTGGCTTCAAACCTCTGTTTGCCATACCACTCAGTGTAGCTTACTTTAGCTTCGTTATTCATATATTGGCTAAGTGACGTTAGCTGTTAGCTGCCGATGCCATTCATTGACTAATACTTTTAGAGAAAGTTGTTTTGCTGGGTGCAAAAATCCATGTATGCCACGGTTAATGAGACCAAACTAAGTCAAATAATTTATAAATGTGATGCTTACCTGACTTTTTTAGTTGTTCAAAACATACAATGTATTTGTTTTTCTGTAGCTCCTCCGCTTCACAATACAAAGAACGCCATATTTGCTGTAAAAGACATGAGCGTTCATTGGTTGATCTTTGGACGTTCCAGTGTTCTTTGCGCTGATTGGTTGGAGAGCGCTCAACGCTCAACGGCAGCAGCGTAGTGATTTAACAATTTCACAAGAGGTCGCACTTTACAAAGTTAGGAGTTAAAGCCCTGCACAAAGTCAGAGGTACTAATGTTAAGGAAAAGTTTATCATGCACTGACTGAAACCAAATTGAAAATAATTACGAATTACGTAATTGCTAGGCCTGGCACGTGTCTAGCTCACAATTGTGTAACCCAACTGTCATTTTAGCTAACTAGCATTTGCATAAATTAAGCTAGGTAAACACAGCTATTTAGCTAGCTGACTTCAGGCAAGAAAAGGAAGTATATTTCAGGTTAGTTTAATTACGTGAGCTTTTTCATACTGCAAATTACTCCTTTTTTAACAAGTGTCTATTCAATGGCGTACAGTGAAATGCTTTGTTGTCTTATGTAACCACCCTTTCATTCATTTGTGTGGTTAACTGAAGTGTTATCTGTTATCTGTTTTCTATGTCAGTTCACTGCCTTTCAACAGGTTATTTTGTTTGTTAGGTCACACCTTTAGAGACGAAAAGAAAAGCAAAACATTTATAGAAAACATTCAAGACCTTAGACATAAGAGACAGCAGATAAATATTTTAATGTGTGAGACCAAATCCAATTAAACGTTTTTGAATATTGGTGCTATTTTTGAGAGATTAAAAACAAACATAACTGTAGAAACTAAACAAGCCACGTGTTATTGAAAATAAATTATTTTTAATATGAATGCATCTACCCAAACACAGCCTGCAGAGCTTTTCTAAGTCTCTCCTTTCCACTTTTGCAGTCATCATGTTAAAAGGGATACTGTTCTCCATATCAAACCTCCCCAACTACTTCAGCGAGATGAAGGTCCTGTATTGAGTCTGTGGCAACAAAGACCCTCATTCTGCCTGACACTGGAGACCTCGTCCTGGCTAGAGCGAGGTCTGTGTCCTGGGACTGTGCGATGCCAGCCAACAAGAGAGGATCCATGCAACCTGGCATAGTCAAGGTAGGCTGGGGATGGAGGGTGTGAGGTGTGCGTGTGTATGTGAAGGTGTATTTGGGGAGAGGTATCTTTTCCCTGTTGCCTTCCATTGAGAACTGCATTAGACAAGGGTGCTGACAGATTTGACTCTACCCCTGGGGAGACCAGAGAGACTTTTAGCCGCAGCTCTGTGTCTGTTCTCATGACTTCACTGCTGAGAGAAACTCAGTTTTGCTGACTTCTATTTTTCCTCTCAGTTAGTGCATGGTTTGCTTAAGTTTGAAACTATTGGTTGTAGCTTAAACCAAATAAATGGGGCTCACTAGAGTTTAGTTTGTGGTACTCAAAGCCCTTCGAAACCACCTTAGAGTGAATACTTTCATTTGTTTATAAAGTATTATATTGGATTAGATGTTCCTCAATATCTCAAATTTAATTTTATAGGTGCTTTGCTCGCCACAGAATAACTCTTAGCTCCAACAACTTGACATTCGATATGTTTGAACCTCAGCACTATACAATAACACTCACAATATGTGGATTGTATTTATTGCGTTTATATGAAAACTATTGATCAAATCCATCGGGGGAAATTGATAGCGTGCTTATTAAAATCTTATTAAAACATATTTACATGGCAAAAGAGGATAATCATTATGAAATAACAGAAGTAAATAATATTTCATGGCGTGTGCCTCTAAGCTGTTGTAGAAGTGTACACACATTACAGTAGGCCTATTCTACTCTTTCAATCTTGCTCTTTCTTTCTTGCTTCCTTGAAAACACGCTGAGGGGCCTTTGGGCAAACACAGGTAATTACCAATGGTGGGGAGCCAGGAAATGATAGAGCCTGTGTTTCCCCTCAGGTTGTCCATTTCCTTTTGCTTCATGAATTAGGATATATGAGGCACCTACTGTAACAGAGAAGACAAGGTACATCATGTGTTGCCATGTAAGTGCTCTAAATTGTACCTTGTCAAGCGAGGATGTTGTCATACTGTATGTTACAAGTGTGACTTACATAATGGCTGTTTTCCAAATTACATCATTTTTCTCTTTACTTTCAGTAGACCTAAGTAGAACGAAGTACTGAACCTGGCTTTGCAAAGTATGTCTGTTGCATTCAGTGTATATACAGTTGGGACATGCTACTTTGTCATAGTATTGCACCTTCAAATTTGATCTTCTTGCTCATACATCTTCTGCACAAAAGGATTGTGGGTCATAATAGCCAGAAAAGCATGCAGGCTAGCATAATGTAACATGCATCCGAATGCAGTAAGTCATCTGGGTGTTTTTTTCAGTGTGTTAGGTTGTACTAAATCTTTTTTGGCATACAAAATAAAATGGTATTATGGGTATTGGAACGCACAGATTCTGTCACTTTTTCACCCACATAGGTGTTTTCAATTGTTTGCCTAATTAGATCCCTTCCCAGGACAGTGTTGGCAAGTTCAGCTGTGCTTGATTGGCATCTTTCTCACTTCCCTGTGACATCATGTGTACAGAGGTCTAATTAGTCAAGTGAAAACACCTGTGTGGACGTGCTTGACAGCTTGTAGTATTTTTGTTAGATAGCCTAGGTGGGTGCTAGTTATTTGGCAAACATTAGTTAAGTCGTCTGCACCTCTGATGTGTCGTTTGAGCACTGTCATTATTTCCTGTGCTTTTCCTTCTTTGTCATCTCATATGTCTTCTATAAAAAAGGCGGATGTGCTGAACTTATTGAGTGATAGGAGGATGTCACCAACCTGCGTTTAAAAGCACTGTGTCCATTTTAAGTCTTTTGGTGTGTACTTGCACCCTTGACAGCTAATGGACACAACACCAGTTGGCTCTTGGTTATTGCAAAGGATGACAAGCGTGGGTACTAGGACGAGGCTGTTGTGTCCATGGGCACTTGAGGGCACTGAGGCCCGGACCTCGGTAATTCTTTCGAGGTGTATATAATAAAACTTGTCAAATATCTGCACATAATTAACAGGGTTCTTTGTAGTACTTCCATTTACTGGCGGTGGGGGCGCTGCACAACTGAGTAGCCTACATTAAAGCAAACAGAAGAAGACAAAATCAATTTATCAACAAACAGCCGCACTCCAGACTTGTACCCATGGATGTATAATAAGGGAAGGTGAAATAAATACTTTACATTAAATTCTTTTCGTGTTGTGTAAATAATGATGTAATGCTTTTGAAAGGCAAAGAATAATAAAAAAATAAATTTATGTATATATTCTGTGTGCACAAACTACAGGTGAACAGCAAACACCAGTGTGATTTTGGTGACAGTACGACTATCTAGGACAGGGGTGTCAAACTCAAGGCCCGGGGGCCAAATCCGGCCCGCGATTTCATTTTATTTGGCCCGCAAGAGCTTCCAAAGAATATAATACGTTTATTATACGGTTACATGCCGATTTACAGAAGCAGGTTGCCCATAAACTACATGTCCCACAATGCATCTTGTTTGCGCACTGAAGAGACTTGCAATTATTTGCCCTGTACTTCTGCTTTCAAATGTAGTTAGTTATTACCCTATCCAATAATAATCCAATTCAGAGGCAATCATGTAATATAATATATTATTTTATATATATATTTATAGATGTATATTTATATAGTTACAACCGGCCCTTTGAGTGCAACCATAATGCTAATGTGGCCCGCGATGAAATTGAGTTTGACACCCCTGATCTAGGACAAAGTTATAGTGGTGGTGCCAAATCCGGCAGTACCAACGCCTGGTCTGCGACATGTGGAAGCCCCTCTTTAGTTTTTCACCTGCTAAGCCCAGAGTACATTTTTTTAGGGGGGCCTGCCCCCGAGCTCCCCTAGCATGTTTTGGACCTCGGTATTTACGAAATCCTGGGTACGGGCCTGGTTGTGTCTCTTCCATTTAGGCAACAACATCAAAAAAAATTATAAGACACTGGATACATTCCCATCACACTTGTGAAGTGTTTAGAAAAACACGTAGTTTGTATATCTTAATTCTATTAATGTCCCTTTATGTGTAACATTATTGTTCTTCTAAAGTACAACTATGTTTAACTCATTTCATACATTCATTTATTACATCAATGCTCATACTTGACTTATTTCAAAACCTTCTATAGTAATACACAAATATATTGTGCATATTAAAATGGAGTTCATCTGATTACTTTGCCTATGTCTAATGACCTATAAAATACATTTTAATTTGCACTAACAGTGTGTCAGAAAGAGTGCCATTATATTTGTGCTATGTTGCCCTTCTGTAACACGATGGGCTTAATTGCTTTGTAGAAGCTAACATCATCTATGCAGAAAAAAGGCGTAGTTAGATAACATAGACCTCAGAGCTCCATCTTAAGTGATACTATCACAGGGAGTACTTTTACTGGTGAAAGTGTTGGCCACAGAGCCACATGCGGCTTGACACTGAAGAGCTTTATATAGCCTCTTCAACACGATTTCCTCTCATTTTACTGTCATCAAGAATCCAGGCTACAGGGATTTCTTCAGCGTTAATTATAACTGGTCTATATGGGCTGGCTGGCTGGCTGGCTGGCAGAAAGCCTGGTTAGGAACATTTCTTGAATCCTTTTGCATTCTTTTACTGGCTTCAGAAGTCTTCTTTCTTCTGATCTTTAACACTTTTATTTTCAATAATGTGAGAACATGTGTGAATCCAGGCCTCAGCTGGCTTAGTTAACTGTTCCCAGGGAGTCACAGGGGGGTAATTCCCGACGGACCCTGGGTGTGAACTTGCTGTAGCGTAATTTCAACAAAATATCCTGACGACATATGAGGAGTTCACCTGATGGTCCGTCGATCCTTTGGCAAAATCGAGCAACGAATAGCACCTAAAACAGCTTTATATCTACAGCCCTGTGGTTCATCTGTGGTTTCACTTGCTGAGAAATAATTAGGTGTCTGAAGTCAGAGTCTACATATCCTAATAGGCTACCTATCCTATCTCAATGGCATGTCTTTGCGATCCCATAGAAACCATCCTATTTACAGGGCAGTTTTCAAGACATGCCCTTAATTACCTAGGACTTCTTCGCGTCTTCTACTATGACATTTCTACAGTTCGACCTAGACTACAGCATTCGGAGAAAATTAAATTCATTTATTTGACCACCACTAATCCTTAAATCTTCACCCTTACTTTATTTCTGTCACACCAAGCCACATAACGCCTAACAAACACTGCCCAGGCCTTCTTAGATAATCAAACTTGAACAATCTTCCAGCATGGCCTCTGTGATCCCAGTGTGCTGAGATACCAGTGGCCAGCATGTTAATCCATCTGTCGCTCACTGTGGGTGATTTAATCACCCCAACCTAAATTATTTAGAAAGAACTGATGGCCACGGATCTCGTGCAAAGAGATTATTTATCACCAGTCTGCCTTTGTTCTGTGGTGCTGCTAATGACACCATTGTAGTAGCTAGCTCAGGTACTCTGTTGCAGAAATGCCACACATTTGATCATAGATAATTCGCATAAAAGTAGATTAAATCTATTCTACATGTTTCATTCAAAAGTATTTTAAGGATATTTTCTAAATCTAATAACATGTTAGATTATAGACCAAATCACTGTATCAGTAGTGATAATGACCATGATATGGGCTTAGTTTTGTTGGACTACAGGTAACAGGAAAATAACAGTACAGAAAGGCCAAATATATGCTTGCAAAAAAAATCTTTGTTTTAGATTTTTTTCCGTCAAAATATCGTCCCCGGTTTCAGTCTAAAGTATCCCGAATTTAAATAAGTGTAAGTCTTTTTTACTTAAAACCATAATGTGCAATAGGGTCTTTTCACAGACACAAGACACGTTTACTTACCATATTATACAGGTCTTACTATTAACATTAAGACACAATAATATTCAAGTAGGCAGTTAAGATTAAGTAACCCTGAAACTGAATGCCATCGTTCATTTTATTATTTACGCCTGTGTTCTCCTTCTTTAACATGAGAAAGGTCAGAGAGAAAGCCCACAGCGAAACAGAATACTTAAAGACATTAAGGTTTCCTCTGTTTTTAGGTAGTAGAATAATAATGATCTCCCAGGTGTTGTGTTACTTCATTGATCTGACAAAGTGAGCCACAGGCCTCTTGCCCAGTTCAGCGGGGCCAAAGGGCCTCTGGCCGCTTGTTGTTTGTGTGTCACAGTGATTAATTGATGAGCCTTCTTGAATAATTGGCCCAAGACCATGAAGTCCTCCGACTGTAGTGACTTCATTCTTGATCTGTTCTCTTAACCCACTCCCCATGGTGATGTATTACCACTTCATTCATCAGCTCAACCATTTTAATACCGATACATGTCTGATGGACCACTCTCAAAAAAGAAAAAGATAAAACAGCTTTTTTTTCACAGTTAGTTTTTAATTGAATAATTTAAATGACTTTGAATTCAAATCAAAAGCCCAGTAGACATAGGAAGACTTCTACAGAGGTCAAAGGTTTTTCCAATCATCCCTTTAAGAGAAATACCTGTTTAATCATGGCAGAAATTAAATTATTGAAAGGTGAGAGAAGAATCATATTTTTGTCTCTCAGTAGAGATTTCATTGTAGTACTCTGATATACACAGATACACATTGATTGCTGTACTCTATCAAAAAGAATTTTGTATAAAAATAATCAGGTTTGTTCAGCCTGGCTGCTCCCTAATACATGTTATATTTTGACTACGCTTTTTACACTATAAACCTTTATATTTAGCTAAAACATGTGTGTGTTTCTTTTATTTAAGGGCTCAGGTGGGCAACATCAAAGCAAAAACAATCTTGGAAAGAATTATTCAGTTAAAATGCTTTTTGTTTTGACCACTGAGGAGGTGCAGTCTTCACACATCAGTGTTTCTTACCTTCTCAGAAGGCAATGAGCACAATACATGTTTAAGGATGGGTAAAGAACACTCACTTATTAGCCAAAAAATGCTCTTTATATTTTACTACATCCCACAATCTTCTAAAAAAAAAAGCAACATATAACATAGAGTCAAGAATACCGGGTTAAATGACTATAAAGAAAATATTAGTCATTGTGACCAACATAACAACCATTGTTTGGTTCTCTGTGTTTTTCACCATTTCCTATAGATTCCCTTCTTTACTCATTAGTAATCTTTAATCAGTTAAATGAAAGTGTTCCACAGGGGCATGAGGTATTAGATAAACTGGACTTGATAAACAGAAACTAATAAACCTGTCCGTAAACCTGTAGAATTCTGACTTGGCATATAGAATAAGGGATCATTTTTAAATGCCAAGAAAAAAAGTTGTCATGCATTATAGTTGTTTCTCTTAAACTACATAGTTATAGCTGATGATTGAATATATATCTACAACTTAAATGTTTAATTGATCCGGTTTTGACTTGAAATTAAACCGGGATTTGCTTGAACTAATGCCATATCTTTCAGAATTTCCTAACAGCTTTAAAGTGGACACTCAAAGAGCTTTTTGGAATATATAACTATCCATTTTTCAAGATCAGTCTGAACAGTTTTTGGAAGAAAACCTTGGGAACAATCATTTCAAAACGTAAGTCTAAGCTACACTCTTTACTTTGGTATCATATCTGAGAAATCATATGCATACAAGTACAATAAAAACGAAAGAATGCAGGATCATTCTCCTAACGCCATGCCTTAAAATTGTTATCTGAGAATCAAAAATATGCACATTCATGTTCAGTGAATTACAATAAATGAAATGAATTCAGACAGTTGTGCTTAGTGTTATTGCTTCCATTCAGACCTTGGTCCAGTGTCATCGCATTAACGTCTTGGCAACTTCTCGCCAAATTACATTAATAATATAAGAGTAACATATTTGTGTTTAACTGTTGCTAAAGTTAATCTAATTTGAAAGCAATGACAGTGATAACAGGTTTTTAGCCAAACGTAGTCTCGCTCACATTCATTTAATCCCTTATACGATATATTTGTTATAATATATTTCAATAATATTTTGTCATCATCTATAACCCAGGTAAAGAAACAATATAAAGAGCATTTAAATTCAACCACTGATGATTTCAAGTGAATAGAAATGTAGGGCAAACTAATGCTGGCTAACACGTTTGGACTATAAATAGATTTTGATAAACACAACAGCTATTCTTAGAAATAGAGTTTTCTTTTAATTTCAGGCTAAACGTAATAAATGGATTTAATGTAATAACTTGATTTAATTCCACACTAAACCCTAAAGGATTTCTGGCCCCTGATACTGTTAACTATATGCATAGATTCCTTTTTAAGGAGGACAAAACCATTCATTGTAATCGATCTATGCCAGTTTGTTACGGTCTGATTTCCATATGTAATGAAAGAAAACTGGAAATAACTACCAACATTTTCATATTTTAATAGTAAAATGACCTTTGATGGCGCATTGCTTCGTTGGGTTACAAATTGCCGCTATTTCATAAACTTGGTTTTGCAATCTTTTCTTGCAAAAATATATTTTGTGATCTACAAAATGTGTATTTAAGACGACTGTCCTACCATTTGTGCTTTAGTTTAGTTTGACCTGATTACTAATGATTGTACATGACAGCGTTTGTGCAAACCAGTGCAGCCGGTCATGGTGTTGGTGGCTTGTTGTTTTTAAGATATGAGGCTTTGACAGGTTATTTATAGAGTTGATCTCTATACAATTTCAGTTCTGTCCAACATACTCTTATGTTCTTCATAGTGCAATCAATAGAGCCCCACTCTCCCTACATAGGTCGATTTTTGGAACCGCACTGATACTAATGAAGTGTTTGAATTATGTTTTCCTCAGTGGCTCTGTTTTTTCTATCACGGCTCATTGCATCTAAAAGCTGCAATGCACTTATTTGTGTCATTGAACACACATCAAGCAAACTACAGCAATGTGAGGAGAGCTTTAAAGAAACCTTGTTACACCTTTATTCGTGCCCAAGAAGAAGTTCAAATAATGTACTTTTGAGAGGGGTTTATAGAACCGATGATACTGCACACAAAACATAACTTACCTAAGCGATTTATTTACACCTAAGGTTTGATTATTTGGTTACGTCGTAATAGTTTTTGTTCATTGAACACGCTCAACTCAAAGTGACCATGTGAAAAAAGATTCAAGTTTCCATTCAGGAAGAAGGTCTTCTCCTAGCCTCTTCCTTGATTGTAGACATTCATTACCACAATTGTCTTATCTGCGTGCTTCTGATTTCCCCCATGTCTTCCAGTTAAGTACCTTTTAGTGTCACCATATTTCTTTTCCAGCATTCAGCTTTTCCTATGGCACTTTGCATTGTTCTGCATTTTTACCCTTGGTTAAAGTTGAGCCAAGGTCAATGGGTATGGGTCATATTTCCGACTCTCTTCGATACGACCTTTGATCCAGCGCCCTGGTGGCCTGTAAGCGTTCAAACTCATGTCGGCTGTTTCTGTCTGGACTGAGGTTCGCCAGCGGCCTGCTACTACCACCTACTTCCTCTTCCTCATCATCGCGGCTTAGGAAGGCAAGCTCGTTTTCATAGCAGAACGAGTTTGTGCTGGGGACTAAGAACTTGTTCTCCACCATTTCCTTGGCACTGCAGCGGGGGGTGGACGGCACCTCGTAGGTTTTGTGAAAGTGAGAGTAATCCACCTTGTACACGTTCTTCTCCTCAAACAAGACAGGCTCGAAACGGTGACCCCAAAGAACTTCCGAGGCCAAGTAGGAGCTGCGAGCCTGCGTGGTCATTGCCGTCGCTTCAACCATCCCCTCCAAGATGACGACAATCTCAAAGTCCGCTGTCTCCAAGTCCTGTTTGCTGATTCCAAATAGGGGGCTCTCCTCATCTATCTCATGGAGAATAGTGATGGGTGAAACCAAGAAAATCCTATCCAGGCCTTTATCAAATCCCACATTGATGTCTATCTGGTCCAGAGGAATGTATTCCCCCTCATCAGTGATCCGAGGTTTGATCAGCTGTGCCCTGACATGGGCCTCTACAATGTGACTTTTGCGGAGGTTTCCTACCCTCCACATGAGGCACAGCTTTCCATCCCGCATGGCAATGAGAGCATTGTGGCTAAACAACAGTGTCTGTGCTCGCTTCTTAGGCCGGGCCATCTTGGCCATGATTGCGCCAATCATGAAGCAGTCAATGATGCAGCCCATTATGGACTGGAAGACCACCATGAAGACAGCCATCGGGCACTCTTCAGTGACACAGCGATAGCCATACCCTATGGTAGACTGTGTTTCAATGGAGAACAGAAAGGCTGCCACAAATCCATTGACCTGTAGGACACATGGAGTGAAGTTGTCATCTCCAGCGGGGTTGTCCAGATCTCCATGAAGCAGAGCAATGACCCAAAAGGCTAAACCAAAGGCAAGCCAGGAGAGAACAAACACAAGAGTGAAGACGACCAGCATCCATCGCCATCGAATATCGACACATGTGGTGAAGATGTCGGCCATGTAGCGCTGCGACTTATCTTCCATATTGGCAAACTGCACATTGCACTGGCCATTCTTTTTGACAAAACGGTTGCGGCACTTGCGCCGTGTGTGGATCTTGCCATTGCCAAAGCCGTTCATGCCATGCATGGTAGAGAGGCGGAGGCCCTCTTCCTCGGATGACACAATGCTGTAGCCGTTTATCCGTCCAACACTCATGCTATCGGCAACGCCTCCAGATGCAGGGTCCGTGCAGAAAGGCGGCCCCTTGCAGATTGTTTACTGGCTGAGTTGCATTTGAGTAAGTCAAAGAGAGGGAGCTGGGTGGGATCCAATCCCTGTAGAGAGAGGCAGAAGAGGAAAACAATGTGAGTGTCTACCTGTCACATAACGGACAAATAAAAGCATTCCCCTGTACGAAACATCACAAAAGAACCGACCATTGAAGCTTGAGTGGCAAAACATTGTAAAACATACATAATAGAATTCATCTTTTCAATCAATAACTCTTTAAGAGCCCAAATGACCAAGTCACCATCATCACCTACAGTTGTTTACATTTTCTACTTATTTGAATAAAACATTTTATTTTCGTGTAGGATATTCTTGAAAGATCTGCATTAAATTAAGTTCATTTAGATTTTTGATACGACTGACTATTTGACCATTTATTTAACGTTACAATTTATTGTTTATTACTGAACTTAGCTTAGCCTCTGATGAGTTAATCCTTACATAATCAACTATAATAAAAATCAATATGGTGTTGATGATAGCAGTAACAGTAAAGCCATCAGTATTGTCAATATTGTTATGGGAATAATTTTGTTCCCTTATCCCAGGGTTGTAGTTTATTATCCATAACGGTGGTTACTTCAGTTCATTCACAGTCTTTCTCCCCGCCATCTTGCTCTCTTTAAACATCACGACTCAAAATCCAATTGGCCCTCTCTGAAGGGTCCTCGTGTCTTTTGATGTCGGCTGTGTAAGTGAAGAGCTGGCCTCACAGCAGATCCACTTCGGTCACATGGCATTTCCTGGGCTTTGCTCTCTCAAATGATGGAGAAGGTTAGCAGAGGAGACAAACTAAGTCATCTATAACAGATGTTTATTATTAGGTAAAGAAAAAATGCACCTTCAGTTAAGTCACTACTTGTATATACAGTCGTCACACATCCATCAACCTGGACTCTGTGCTTTCTTTAAAAAACCTTTTTAGGGAAGTACATGGGGATGTGTTTGTGTATTTAAATACGCCCCTCTGGGACTTGTATGTGTGCCACTGTACATGCAGTTGCAGATGCTGTGATCAGGGTTGGAGAGCAAAGGACTATTTATCTGACCCCATTCTGTAAAATGCTCAGTGTTATTAATCATGTTTTGAGGATGCGGTACATTCATCGCATCTCCCCAGGGTGCTCCATACAACTAGATATCTCCCCTGTGCAATGCCCTGTATAACATTTTTAGGAATTACATACTGGATTTTGATCTTACAAGAATACATTTGGAAGATTACACTAACGGCATACTAGATAATGTTTTGAATTGTGAGTTTGGAAGATATTGAATTTGCAAAATGCTGTTAAATAATTGTCTTTTGGTTGTACAGCTGATAACCTGGTCACTGCGCTAGATTTCCAGCCTCAGGGTCAAAGAGTTTTGCCCCTGGGGGCTGCACTGAGGCCCCTCTGGGTGCAGGCAGCTTTTATCGCCTGGCCACATCCATTCTGTGACTGCTTGCCTGATTCGGGCCCTGAAGAATTTACAGTTCACTCATGTACGTTCCCAAATCCCGGGTGCCCTGCTGTCTGCCACACACTCACACCTATCCCCTTCCTCTACTCACACTCTTTCACGAGAATGTTCTCCCGATTACTAGATTGCCTCATCATGCACAATCCTAAAATTGTCCCTTTGGGCTACAAACACCTGTATCAAAACTACATCCTGTAGCTAAATGTTATATCCTTTTTTTATACTTCCAAAGGCTCTTTTTTTGCCTTTTTACACTGCATTCCCTAAAGAGCACAGCTGTTACAGCTAAAAATAGTTATCCTTCCACTCATCTCACACGTGTACATCTGTTAACCAAGCTGGATGGTCTCATCTTTTGAATTCTATATAGCATCTGACTTTTATACAAACACTTTAATGAGGTGTTTGCTCCTCATTGGCTCACCTGTGTAGCGGCAGGTGGTCTTTGCTCTATGACGGCATAATCACGCCCGCTGTGTTACAGACAAATCTTTAGCCTGATCATCGGCTTAGCATTTCACATTATACATCGTGCTCTCTACAGTACACACATGATCTGACCGGCCTCTCCATATCTTACTGCAGTCGTCAGTGTCAGGTGTCCAGTGAGTTGGTCAAATGAAAGTGAAAACCCTCCCTACGTCTTTGGAGCCATCAGACAAGTGCCTTAGAGTTTCACCACATGAAGCAAGCCTTCGCTGTAGCTACACGAGAAGCTCTTATATCAGATTGAGAGGTTGTACATGTAAGGATTGAGTGGACATGGTACTTAAAGATGAATCTTTCTCACTAACCCTTTGACTTTGATTTGACATTAGTCTTAACTGTGCCAAAACGCTTGACATTAGATTAAGCAACTGCTAGTGACAGCCGAATGGCTATGAATCTTAATTACCTTCATTTAAATGAATTAGAAGTTAAAAGGGCAATTGGTATTTCTTTAGCCATATAACAGTAATAAGAGGTAGGGCTCATATGTCATTGAGAAGCTGGTATTCAAATTAAACATTTCTGGAACCCACGATTCGAACCTGCTATTACCCACACATAATGTTTTTTTCTAACAAACAAAAACAACTAGAAAACTGCTGTTGTCACATTTGTGCGGATATAGTCTTTGTATTGAGAGGCATGTTAATGCTTGTGAAAGGGATAGCAGATTCCAATCCTGTTTAGAATACATGTGCATCTTTGATTAATAAGGCAGGACAAGGACAGTGACTTCCACCCCAGCCAATCATTTCATGAATAACCTTTAGTGACCTTGTCTGCTGTGTGTGTTCTCGTGGAGTTTATAGAGGAGCTACTAAGGGAGACGATAAGCTCGCAGCTGATTGCGGTGAATAGAATGAATAATTGGATGTTAAAAAGAATGAAGGGGATTTGGAGGAACAATGCGGTGTAGTGGGAGGGGGGGCACTTCATCTCAAGACAAGCAAGCAGGAAACTGAGCTCAACCACTAGCATCCCGGCCCACCTCCCAAGGCCATTGTAAAGGAAGAGCTGCGGTTCAGGTGTCATTGTGTTTTCCTATAGCTCACCACGCGGAACTCGTCTCGTCTCAAGTGACCTTCAGGTATTTTCCTATAGAAAGTAACACCACCATTGTCTAATTGACGGTATCTTCTACAAACTAGCTCCCAGTGTTGAAATGTTATGCAATAATTGTCTTTTGGTGGTTTCACTGCTAGCAAAGAGACATATAAGTAAGATGCAGACCTGGAGGCTGTTAGACTCGATTATGTAGGCCATCTCAGGTGGTTGTTGAGAGAAGTGGTAGAGAGAGGTGTTCATACAGGACTGATTCACCCTCAGCTGCCATATGCATAGAGATCCAAATCTGTCACCTTTTTTGCTGCACCTGAAGCTTTTGCACCCTTCAAACACCTGGTTTCCATTCATTGACCACATGGGAGCTTTTTCATTACGTTTTTTTTTATTATTTGCACCCATTCACAAAAGCTGACTCAGCCATATCACACCTGAACTCTATGATTTCCAATTTAAAGCAACACCTGTTGGTTAACACTCACTCACTTGGATATATTTATTTTTTAAAAAGGATAGATATTTCTTAACCAGTATTACAAGTCCATGTTTTTGATATTATAATGAACCCCTTTTGTCGGTGTGTTTGTATTTGATGTTTTGAGTGCTAAATATCCCACAAGTGAATCAAAACTGTACTCGGATGAAAAACAGGATGAGGTCATTGTTGCATAATATTTTTCTCTTCATCCTCTGTCTCTTTTGTCCTCACACATCAGTGATTTCTTTATGCACTCATAGAATAGAGCAGTACCTGAAGCAACACATTGATCCATTACTACCTGCTCATGTCTGCCCTCTGTTATATCATGCTAAATGACATGCTATGATATAACGCTCTCAAATAAAAAGTGCTCTAAATGTAACCAGTTCATTTATTCAGAGAGTGTTTGTTTGTTGAACTTGAATTGGGAAGATCCAGAAAATAGTGTTTACGTTGACTTTGTTTGTTATTTGACGTGTTTCACCATCCAGGCCTAAAACCAATGGTTCTTTTATTTAATTTCCACTATAAAAAAGTCTATCTAATCTAAAGACTAATGACTACATTTCAAATTGGTATCCTAAAAAAGCTTATTGTGTCTGCAACTTCTCAATAAACCAATTATTTAGTTTCCAATAGAAAGAAACAATTGCATTTATAAGCTGTCGAGCTCTGATATGGATCAAGACGATTTAGAGTTGTTGGTGACGACATATTAGATTTGTGTTCGACTCAAACTTTCGATGTTGACATCTTTGTTTTGACTGATGGCTTTTCAGTTTTGTTGTGTCTGCTTTCTTGTACGTACTCTGATTCTTGGCTCACTTGTTGTTTTTTTTAACCCTTTGAGAGATTATTGGCCATCTCAAAATCTAAGAATAGGATTTAAAGATGATTAATCTTACTTTAGACTCTGGATAAATCTGCATAATTTAGAATTATGTAAAGGTGATTAATCCTGCTTATAAATCTGGGCAGATCTGCATATTTTTTAAATAGTGTGTTCATTCACGTATACATTAAAAGCTCCATACTGTAGTGAATATATTTATGTGTAAGTAAGTAAGTAACATTATTTACTGTTTTATTTCTATATTACATCACAGTGGATATCAAATGAACACTATACAGCAAAGACTTTCAGCTTTCATTTGTGATGTTTACATTCAAAATAAATACATAATCCTAGCATTTGTGCATTGTTCATACATTTGCTTTCAATTCTAGGGAATAACATAATTTACGTTGGATTGTAAATCCTTTAAAAGCAATGCAATTCATTAATTGTATATGCTGTTTCTGATAGAATTTAAAAAATATATATTTATGAATCCATATAATTAGATGTCTAATTTCGAAAGGTGAATGTTTGAGTGTATATAATGCCATCCAGTGCTACTTTTAAAAACGACATCTATGATATCAGGCAATAATGATGTCACCATCAGGCTGCAACTTGTAGTGAAGTTTCCTGTCCTTCTCTTACCTTTTATCTCCACCTGTCCTCCTCGGGCTGCAGGATTAAAGGTGCTCTCTTCTCTCCCGGTTGTCCCTGTTAACCAAACTGAGGCATTCTTTGCACCTGCCGCCGCAGCTGCTGCTTCTCTGAGCGCTACTCTAACGCTGGAGAAAACCACTCCATCATCTTCAGCACCAGGCACAGACCCCCTTTGAATTTCTTCATCCTTGCCTGATCTCGCCTCTTCCCAGGTGGTGTCGCAGGCTGAATCTCACCAGAACCTCGGGCCGAGACACCTCTTGTGGAAACAGGTAGGAAGCGTTAGGCGAGGATTATCCCACTGAAATGATGACAGGTTTTTGTATCTCCATCTTCTGAGGCAGTTTCTTCAGCTGGTCTTCTGCTCATCCTTCAACATCATTAGTCCTGTCCTTCACATTTGCCCTAAAACTGTACAATACTCCCTCAGTGGTTACGAACTGAACAGCTCTCTATCAATCTTTTGCAATCTGATCTAGTTGGACTGCTCTCTCTCTCTTTCTCCCTCTGACTATTTCTTCGCTTCCTCCCTCCCTCCAGTGGTGTCACAGACGCTGCCATTTGCAGCCTCCCTCCCTCCCTCTCTTTTTCTCTCTCTCTCTCTCTCTCTCTCCCTGTTTCTCTCGCTGTCTCTCTCCCTCCCTCCCTCCCACATCATGGCACTACCAGTTGACAGCCACTTGATGCTCAGACGTATCATTCAGAAAACACAAGCAGACAATCCACCATTGTATTTGATCAGATGTTAATCAGAAGTAAATGGAAGCAGCGTGACGAACAAGAAAAGGCTTTTACAATGGCTTCCCACATACAATTCAAACCTCTCTTTCAAGCCCTTCTGCTCTACTTTTACCCTAAGGCGAATTCTGTTATCCCAACATTTAACTTCAAAGATTACAGCTCAATAAATACGTTAAAAAAAAAGCAACAATCAGCAACAGGTGAGAATGCTTATGATATGAGTGGGGCATATCGTCACGTATCTATTTACCTTGTTATCGTCAGTGCAGTGTGTATGAATATATAATGCTGCTGGGTGCTGTGTCCCGGTGCAGAGGGATGCTTTTCACACTTGTCATCAAAGACTTATCAATAACATTTGACCCGAGGAGGAATATGGTGCTCTCGTGCTTCAGTGTTTGACAATATGGCCGCCTCGCCACACCAGGAGTCCTGCGTCAGAGGAATTGAAGCTGAAGTATGCCAACCACTATTAGTCAGCCCTCTAATTAAAGGTAATTCGTAACACTGATCTACATTTGAAATCTTTGGGGAAAACTTCCAAGGAACACATGTCTTGATGTGTCGCTCAGTGTCCCTGCCTGTTGCCTTCTTCTTGTTGTTGGCAGGAAGCTGCAAATGTGTCTTCATCGCCACCACTCTTGAGTACATTACCGTTACCCTTGACAGCTTCCAGGTGTGACATAATCCTCAGAGTGCTTGCTTCTCCCTTTTCTCACGTCTTTTCAGAGAGCCAGTCATCAGTCAAACGCTAAAAGAGATGAACATGAGTGTGGGGTGAAAGAGTGTGACGTTTCTAAATGCAGCCACACTGGCTCGGCCCCAGCTTAATCACTGATAACTCATCAGTGCAGGAACCCTCTCTCTTTTTTTCTCTCTCTGCGCTCCTATTCTTTCTCCCTGGCAGCCTCTGATTTCAGTCTTCTGACGGTGATTTGCAATAGCCCGTGTGTGATCATCACCAGGCTATTGTGTTTGGCCCGAGGACGTCAACTAATGGAGCTCAAAGCGTCCTTTTGAAAGCGCCTCTCTCTCTGTGTCGGCAACAGGTACTGTACCCGTCCCTGCATAATGCAACGCTTTGACGGCTTGATGCTGCAAGCCCGGGGAACAGTAGATCACAAGGTTCACACATCCAGACTGTAAACCTCGTTATGTAACTGCACCATAATCACAGGTGGCAGCTCACAGACCCTCTACATGCGTGTGTCTAAATGAGAGGGTTCTGCCTCCCAGGGAGATGGCTAAGTGGAGTTCGCTGCCGCTTCCATGGCTACAGGTAGAACATGTTTTCACTATTTTCAGACCAATAAGAACCGCTAGAAATGAAACAAAGACAGATGGACAAGGAGAAGACAAATGCAGGCTGCTGGTCAACGACAGATTATATCAATACTAGACATTGTTGACATGACTCATCAGAGACATTTTGAGAAAATAAAAAATGGAGATGCAGTTTAAGAGGTGAAATAGGAATACAAAATCTAAAATTCTTAAAATCTATTTTGCTCAAGTGGGCACATTTTTTCTGTCTATTCTGTCCTTATTAGAGCATTTGAACTCCAATACTGTGACCTTTTATTGCCTTTGAGGAAAGACTTTTAGAAATATTAACCATACAATTCAAGGAACAATATGTATTTATTTGCAAAAAAGGGACAAATAAATTCTTTTTCGGGACAAATAAATTCTTTTTTTAACTGAATGAAAATGACAAAGAAAGACACTTTTGAATAGACATGATGTGACAATGAGAGAAAGAAGTGTCACGCCGAGGTTTTAAATGGCAGCGAGTGAATAAAAGCAGGATTTAAAGATAGTGCAATCTCACAGCTCCTGCCAGACTCTTGCAGCAAGGTGTAATTTGCATTAATCAGAAGGGCCCTAAGAATAAACCTTTCACAATCCTTCTGCTGATAGTGATTGTGGCATTTCATCTTTTACAATGACGCTCGCCTCAGGCTGACACTGCACAGGAGCTCTATTGACTTATTGCTGCTGACAGCTCTCGCTCTCTCTCCATCATAATCAACACATATCACATGAAATATGTCCTGTGTTAGTAATGTGTGATACTTGGAGTTAAGAATGTTTTCCAACATGTAGGTAAAGATGAATTGGGAGGCTTTTAAAAGTGAGAGATTAGTAGATGGCTTTAAAATGTACACACTCATTCATTACACCTTATATCGAAATATTTAATACAGGGAGACTACCCTCTGTCATTTTCTTGAAAACCACATCTTGTTAGCTGAGTCTTCTCATTTTGACAAGTCATTTAAGTCCCTCACTAATGCTTCTTTATATTTTGAGGATGAGCTCTGAACTTTCGGCTCCATCACTCTCTGAGAAACCTGTCTGATGGAGCTATTTCAGGCTTTGAGCCATTCCTGTTCATTTCATTTCTTTTGCGACTTCATTTCTTGTCAGCGGGGATTAGGAATGTGATATTACTGTACTCTCACTGGCTGGAAAAGTTGTGAAAAGGCCTTCTTGTTCTTGGGCCCAGCTGGCTGTTTTTTTTTAGCGTGGCCATGGTGGAGTGAGCAGGGAAATAATAACATCCAACACAAACTTTCCTGAGTCATTTAGTGCTGTAAAATGTTCTTTTTAGTTTTTACATCAAGACTGCAGCGTCGTGTAAAGTGGGTTATGAATAGAAAATCATTCTGGTTGTGATTAACTAGTTTCAGTGTTGTGCTAACAAAGAAACATCACGCATTCATCAGAAAGACTTTTAAGACTCATTTTGAAAGGTAATCATGTAGAATTAGTGTTTGTTTTAATAAAAAAAATGCAGGATACGGGTCTGTAATTATAGTTTCATTCACTGCTCAGCATGATCATACACTCAGGACTGATTGGAATATATTTTATTGACCCCGAATTGGAACATTGTTTTGTAACAGCAACCTTTGCACAAGTTAAACATATGATCAAATACAAATAAACTGTACAAATACACATATCTAAAGAGTATCTATAAAATATTATAAATTATACAAAGTCAGTTAAAATACACTATGATAGACCAAGCTACAAATATAAAACAACATAGGATACCATATATATTATAAGTGTGCAAAGCAGTGGCAGTTTATTTCAATGCAATGTGGAAGAATATGAGTACAACATCAAATAGTTTTTTGTTATTTAAAGGGGGAAACAGGGGTATAAAGGAGTTTGTGGCGCTAATATCAGTAAGAAATGCCCAAAAACTAACAAAACAATATGAGTTCCTACATATTACACCAGTACACGGTTACAAAGAAACCCACCATCGACAGCATGTGGACAAAACACACTAACTGCAACGCTAGCTGCCACTCAGAAAAATAATCAAGTTTGTCTGCCAGACCCACGGTTGACTACCATCCAGGTTGTGTTCTGTTAAGAGAGATTTGTTGGAGAAAACATCACCATAGTAAGATGTTCCACAACTCTGATCACAGGAGCCACAAGTACATGTGAGCACAGAGAAAGTTAATGCGTTTATATAATGACTCCTACAGAGGCACTTAACAGCCCTCTTACTCTCCACCTCACTCTGGAGCTACTCTGAGTCCAGGACAATGGTGGAGGTTTGATCTGATTACTATGCCCTTAATAACATCTCTCTTTTCTTACACCTGCCACTGCCTACACTTAAGTCTTGTATAAGAAAACCAACGAATATCAAGCAATGTATAGGACAGCTTCAAACAAACAACAGCAAACAGTTGAACAGCAGATCTCAATTTCTGTTCACTGCAGGATAAATAGCAGTACTTTTGGACTAACGAATTCTAACAAAGCTTATCTTTTTTCCCCTGGCAAGTGCGCATGTGTGATAATGCACTCAAGGTGTCCTGAAGAGTACACTTCAATCATTTCTTTTCGCGCCTACAGTACTTATGATGCTATTTATTAAAAGCTGCAATGTGCATTTGGTTTTTAATTTTGATGCTGGAATGATTATAAAAGGTGGTGTAAATGTGGGTGTTTGGCAAGTACAATGATATTATAATGACTAGATAGTTGGTAAGTATGCAGTGCTTCGTTATATTATTATATGCCAAAATCACACAGTCATTGTTTTCCAAATTAATATTGCTTTACTTAATATTTAATATTCTCTCTTGTATTTTTGAAATGTCTGGCCTTCAACCTTGAAAAGCTGCAATGCTATTTGTAGTCTTAATATTAAATATCTTGTGGAACAAATGCATGCCAAAGCTAAATGTAATACATTTGAATAATACCTTTTCAAACTCACTGTATGTGGTTCTTTGTTTACGTGACCACACATGGTGCGACACCAGCACTTAGCTTATATCCACTTTATTGCTTCTTAGTGCTAATGCTAATCTGAGGAAGCTTTGACCGATCAATTAAAAGTCATTTATAGAAACCTTTTGACCATTTTCCTTTTGAAACACCATTGCATCACTTATGGTGACCGTGTGACAATTTGTCATATAGATTATAAGAATTGACCTGAGGCATAAAAGCTATTGTTAGCCACTGTTATATAAGCTGTTAAAGCCTCACTATATAGTTGTTTAGGTCAATGCATGTTTTACTTTCAGCCTGGCAACACTTTATCAAATGAATGAGCTCTCAAGCGTATTATTTTATATAGTTTATATAGTAGGATTAGTATGGAATGTATTAGTTAATGTAAGACATGATCC